TGAAGCTCTGCTTAGATTGAGATGATAATCTGTATTCATTCCATACTATTTTATGGCCACATTTCCTGTATTTTTAAATTTGGACCATTGTCTTTTATGTGCTCAAGAAGATGGAGGAATCTGAGGCAGTCCTCCTTGAGGTGGGTAGTCTATCAGACACTTGTCTCACACCTGTGATTCTCTTTCTCTTTTACAAACCCATCATTCTGACATTCTCCTGGGGCCCAGTGATTTTCTGGGTTACAGTTTTATTTGTAGACACTGATATTAGAAAAGATTTTCCACTAGTTTTTACATTTGAGGTCACAAGAGGAAGTCCTGAAGGAGAGGAGGGGAAGTGTCAGTTCTGTAACCTACTAACACCAGTTCCTTCTGGGTAGCCACTCTGGAAGTGTGTATTTATTATTACTTATGTTTGGTCTGAGTCAAGTCCTGTAATCGTGGTACAATTTGCATATTTTCTTGTGAATTTTGAAGATGTTGAATTCTCATAGACTTTCTAGGAGTTAACAGTACATAATGGGTTCTGGTGGGCATTTAAATAAGTGAATTTCTGTGAAGTGCTTAGAACAGTGCCTGGCGGAAGTGCTGAGTTTGCTATTACATTGATGATGTTATGATCTACTTTGTGGGTTGTTCAGGTCCTTTCTGCTTACCACTTTTTGATCCATTGACTACTCCTCTTGAACTCTGCCAGCAACTGAGAGAGGTGAAAACTAAATTATTTGTTAAGTCAGATTGCAAAAAAAAAAAAAAAAAGAGGGACTATATTTTTAAATTATCTAGAGATTTCATAGAGAATCTTGAGGGGGACACCAACAGTGATCAGGTGCAAAGCAGAGAAAGATGTTGCTAAAACCTACGTGATGGAACTTGCTCTGTTTTAGAAGTTTCACAGCCCTTGAGAAAGTCTAAGTAACAGGAAGGTGGTGCCAGTGTTCTGTTAGGTTTTACTGCCCTTGTGGTAGACGTCATTCAGCTGTGGGAGCAAGAGGGGCTAGAAAACACAAACTGTTAACAGGCCGGTGGGGGCTGACTCCCAGGTCACAGTGGTGCATAATACAGCCCCAGCCTACCGTGCCTCCCACCCCCAGCCCCTGTGCCACAGGCTCCATGTCTGTGGACAGGGACAGCTTCTTACTGTATACCACCAGAGATATTTGTGGATAAGGTACATCTCAAAAACATGACTACACAAAAGCCAGAACAACACAGGTGACCCCCAGTCAGTTTTGAGGATAGGATACAAGGCTTCTTTTCCCCTCCCTCTAAGTTTGATGTTTACTTTAGATGCATTTAATTCAAGGGGAAATGTTGCCTTAGCTTCATCATTTCAGTATTTGGCTAAACAGATCTAACTTATGGTCGGGGCCCTCACTAAATTAGCCAGATTGTGTTTTGTTAGCTATGCTCTATTGAGCCTGTGGTGGGTACAAGGCCCCTGAATAAGTGCTGCTTTATGACATTATCTTATTATGACTGTAACTGCCCTTGAGACTTGCTCCTGTCCCAGTTTTAGAGGAAGGATCTGAACTTGGCGAAGTCTAACCTTGCTCAGAGTTCTACATTTGTAAGCGGTTGAGCCTGAGTTCTGACCCTGGTCTGACTCCAGAACCCACATCCTTACTGGGCTGACTTCATACTTCCCTCCCCTAGTGTGAAAAAGATAGGTATCCTATCCTGGGGCCGGGGGAAGTGGTGCTAAAAATCTCAGCTTTGGTCCATGAATTGTTCATGATATTAGCCTCATTTTACGTAGACTTGTACTTTGAAGTAGGTTTTCTACATGCATTTAGATCCCATCACTTTCAAACAGATCATAAAATAGTTGTCTTGAGAATGGCTTCTCTAGAAAGAATAGAAATCTGGACATGCAGACCCAGAGCATTTCCAAGGAGTCCTGGCCTAACTTTGGAATAGTTCTTCCTATTTTGATTTTCCTGAATCTGACATGGTCTTGGTGTCTAGATTTTATCTTATTTTTTAAATTTCCTTTTAGCCTTCTAGTTTATCTTAGCTATGATAAGTTTATATTTTGCCTTATTTGAAATTAATTTAAGGCAGCTTACAAAGATACAGTATCAGTGGAGGAGTTCTGAATTGAGGGACATGTAGGAAGAACACAGTGAAACCCAGGCTGAGGGTAATACACAAGATTCATACCATCAGCATTTGCTAGAGGTGGTCCACAGGTTGGCTAAGCCAGAGCAGAAGCAGCCCACCTCTTCCCAATTTTTTGAGAACAGAGATAAATTCTTCTACTGGATTGAAGCAGTTTCTTAGGTCACTCTGCGAACACCAATGGCATCAATAAAAGCAATGGTAGAGTCCAAAGCAGTGAGGTCTGGTTACTGAGCTTTCTGCTTAATCTAATATTTAGATCTGCTAAAGGAATGAATGGCCCACATGCTCTTTTTAGGCGCTCGTTCTGCTGTGACTTAGATCTCACAGCTGAATTTCAGGTAACAATGAACTGGAGATTGCATCTTTTAATAGCTGGACTGGATAATAAATATAGTCACCTGCCCAATAAGCGGCTCACCTAGGGAAATGGCTGGTGTGCTTTCTTAAAGTTGAAAGACCTAAGATACTTGTCCTGAGTAGAGGGCCGTCCTCTTTCCCCACAGAGGTGAACTGAAACAAGACCGAAGGCAGTGCCAAGATTTACTTCAAAAAGAGCTGGGTGGTCTTGTCAGGCAAGTGTACTGTAGGCATTTCAGTTTTGAGTGGCAAGGAGTTTGAGTTGTACCTTCCCTCTTCTGTTGCATATCTAAAGCTCTGGATGGTCTGTTGGTCAAATACAGACCCATCTGCTCCGTCAGACAGCCAGACTGGGCTAAGCTGGATTTGTTCTCTAAGTTGGGATAGGGGGAAGTGATTGTAGTTTCTAGGTTTATGTGTGGGAGGTTCAGCTACAGAGCAGTATCACCAGAGGAAGATGTGGAAAGCACTGGGTATGTGTTTGTTAAGTAAGTGAGGGTGGTGCCTTTAGATGCTCAGATGAAAATGTTTAGTAGGCAATTGTAAAAGAGGGTCTAGAGCTTAGAAAACAATAGGGAAGTTAGAGATTTAGAAATCTTCAGGTTTCTGAAACCTAAAACTCTTGAGAGGAGATGTGGGTTTTAATCTATAGCCTGCCATGTTATTCTCCTGGGCTGGTCACTTCTCTGGGATTAGCAGTCCTTATTTGTAAAGTAAAACTAGACAGTTCATCCCACAGCCCTCTTCCAACTCTGGATATTCATTTTAGAACACAAAAAAACATTCTCTCAAAATGTGCTGCTCTTTGTGGGGAAAAAAGACCCTTTAGTAATGGCTTAGGGTGTGTAGTATCATGAAAGTACTGGACTTATATACTAATATCCTTTTCACTCTCCAAATCAGTGATTTATTGTGGAGAGAATTAAAAGTGGACAAGAGGAAGGGTGCCTGGGTGACTCAGTTGGCTAAGCATCTGACTGGCTCAGGTCATGATCTCGCGGTTCATGGGTTCAAGGCCTGCATCAGGTTCTCTGCTATCAACACAGAGGCCCCCTTCGGTTCCTGTCTCCCTTTCTCTCTGCCCCTCCCCAGCCAGCTCATGCTTTCTCTCTGTCCCAAAACTAAATAAAAACATTAAAAAAAATTTTTTTACATAGAAGTAGACTGGAGGAAATTTCCCTGGATAAGTCAATATTTGGTGTTAGTAAATAATCATTCCCCCCACACCTGTTTCCTTAAGTGAGTCATATTTCTGATAATATTCACCTTAGGTCTGCCAAGATGGAAGTCATGTGGCTGAGTCAGTGGAAACAGGGATGAGAATGTGGGTTAGGTATTTTTTTTTTTCCTGTCCTATTACCTGTTTGATAATGCCAGAAAATTTCAAATTGATAGTTTTACAGTGTCCAGAGGCTCAGGTGAAAGCCAGGGAATTTGTGGGGGAGTGCAGGAGTACAGCCTATCTCCTGTTGGGCTATACTGCCCCCTAACAGAAGCTGTTTTTTGTTCTTAGGCTGCAGAATTGAACATTTTCTTGGTTTGGAAAGAGTTTCTTATAGTTATAGCATCTTCTCTCCCACCCTCCTTTCCTGGAAAAGGTGGATAGGGCCCATATGTATTTTCATGGTGTATTGGTTTCCTGAGGCTGCTGTAACAAATTACCACAAACTTGGTGGCTCAAAGCAACAGAAATTTATTCTCTCACAGTCCCAAGAGGCTAAAAGTCTGAAGTCAAGGTGTCGAAAGGGCTCCACTCCCCTCTAAGGCTACAGGGGTGAATCTCTTCATTGTCCCTTCCACCTTCTGGTGGCCACTGCTATACCTCATGGTTGTATCACACCAGTTTCTGCTTCTGTGGTCACAGTGCCTCTTCTTATGTCTGTGTCTCTTATATAGGTCTTTTAAAGACACTTACTATAGTGTATAGAGCCTAACTGGATAATAAGAGATGATCTCTTCCCCATGTCCTTAATTACATCTGCAAAACCCTTTTCCTAAATGGGTTTACATTCATCAGTTCCAGAGATTTGATGTGGATACATTTTTGGGGAGACCACCATTAAATACATGACAGGTGTTTGGTGCCTTTTTTCTCCATTTTCTCTGAATCTTTATTATTACTATTGCTAACTCTGTTCTGTGTAAACCAACATTCCCTTTCATTCTAGGTGGTGGCCTGTGTGGAGATGGCTTACACCAAGGTCCACCATGGATGCTGCTCAGTTACATAGCTGCTTCCTTATTTGTGTTGAGTGTTGATTGTATTATTTTCAAGTAGCCATTTAGTTTTTTTTAATGGGGAAAATTACAACAAAGATTTTAAACAGTGTTAAAGTTTGTAAAAAAAAAAAAAAGGGGGGGGAACTGGACAGTTTAAATACTAAATTGCACATAACTAGAAGTGCAGGTCAGTAGCGGAAACATTTCATTTTGCAAAAATGTAGAAAATAAGATAGTGATGAAGTTTCAAGTTCGTGTTTGGAGGCTGTCTTTCATTGTTGCTCTTCCTTTCTCTGCAGGTCTTTTAGATAACCCTGAGCTTCGTGTGGTCCTGGTGTTTGGTTATAATTGCTGTAAGGTGGGAGCCAGTAATTATCTGCAGCGAGTAGTCAGCACTTTCAGTGATATGAATGTCATCTTGGCTGGAGGCCAGGTAGACAACCTGGCATCACTGACCTCTGACAAGTATGTCTCATGTGCTTCTGATTCCTCCCATGTATGCCCAGAAATGTCCTCAGATTTTTCTTACCCAGGTTTTTAAAACACATGTTTATAGAATTGCTAACGGTTCATTCCATTATACAATACTCTACATAATTCTTCTTACAACTGAAGAATGAAATTTATATGTTGTCTTTTAATAACTTAAATGGACTCCTACTCTCCTTAAAATTAATTTTCAGGACTGTCTACTGGTATCTCCCACAACATCTCTGTGCTCCATATAATATCAGTAATAACTTCCTCTGTAGTTCTGTTTCCTCCTCTGAAGGAAATGCATGGCGAAACAGTGAAGCTTTATGGTAAAACTTCTTAGAGCCTCTGACATACTCAGTGCTATGGAAATCTTCTAGAGAGGGAATATTACTGTGACAGTTCTCAAATCCATTCTGTGGAGCATCTTGGATGCTTATTGGTATGGGCACACATTTTGGGAAATGCTATACTAGATCTTTTTGAAAGCCTTTTTTCAAAAGGTGTCAAATTTGTGTTATCTTTGATTTTGTTACCAAGGCTTTTGCTTTTGAGGGTGAAATATTTGCTCAGTTATTTTGGGCACCATTACTCCCTTTGCATTTTGAATGAGAGTATGTAGTAGTTTCTGAGTTTGAACTAATTAAGTGAACATGAATATCATCAGTTTCCAAAAGCAGGAAAATGAGAATGTGTTATCCCCTGATGCTTCCTGCAAGCACTAGTATTCATTTCTCACTATATTTGTGGTTAGTATTTGGATACTAGAGTGGCGATGTGTCAACAGACCGTTAGAGATCAGTATCTTTAAAAGCAAGCAATGTAAATAATCCCAGTTATAATCTCCTTTCTGAAAGGCTCCTCTGATGAGTCAAGAAGAGCAAATATATTTGACCTTTAAGCAATGCAGGGGATGGGGGGGCGCCAACCCCTGTTGAAAATCCATGTATAATTTGTGACTCTCCCAAAACTTAGCCTATTGTTGACTGGAAGTCTTAACTGATAACATGAACAGTCAATTAACACATGTATGTATGTATTATAATATGGAAAGCTAGAGAAAAGAAAATGTTAAGAAAGTCATAAGGAAAACAAATTTACAGTCTTGTACTTGTCAAGAAAAATCCACATATAAGATAATGTGTGTTGCTCAGGGGTCAAATGTAGCTAAGTTGAGGCACTGAATTCTAAGCAGGATGTCAAACATTGGATTTCATGCATAAACACACCTAATTCTCAGTAATTATCTGTGATTGTTTCTCTTCTTGCCTGATTTTCTGTGTCTTTGCTTTTATCTTTAAATTGTATACAGTAGGGCAGTGATGATTTAATACCTCATTTGCCTTTGAAATGCCAGTCTCAGTTCAGACATTTAGCATCTGAGACGTAAGTCTATTAGCATGGTTCGTTGTCATCTTCTTTTTATACCTGTTATGGGTAATAGTCCTCAAGAACAATTAACCTTTACATGACACATTAATTGTAATGTGGTCTTCATACTGTGTCCGTGGGTAAGAGAAGCCATTGAATAAATCGAGACTCTGTTTTAATAGTGTCCAGATATACCACCTCACCAAAAAAAAGCTAGGTAAATAATTCTTTGGGGCAAGATATTGACAATACACATTGCAATTGTATGCCAAAGAGGAAATGAAATAAAGTTAAAGGAGCAGTGGAGGACTTCATAAGGTGGATTCTGCCCCTCAGTAACTGGTTTTGCTACTAAGCTAATCTTACTATCTTAGTCCTCTTAAGCTTTTTCAGTTAAGTTTCTTGTTAACCTAGTGAATCTTGCCCATTTCACCGACTCACATGTTGATAAACGTGATAGAAATATAAGGTATTTGTTTTTTCCCTGTAGGTATAGGTGTTCACTATATTATGTTTTATAACTTTGACACTTTATATTTGTTTTAGTAAGGATAAAATATTACATAAAAAAGGCAAATATAAACAAAAGCATGTTTTTACCTTTAGATTAAGCTGAATTGTAGGCTGAAAGTAATAAATAAGACATAGCAATGTAATTATGTTTCTTTATGGACCAAACAACTTAAAGCTAAAACTTCTGGAGTTACAGGTTCTTAATAAAATTACTGTCCATGATTGAACAAGTATCTAATATATCTTTTTTAGAATGGGACACCAAGGTAAGGGGGAAAAAATACCAAAAATGTAAATAATACCAGAAAGCTTTATTTAATAGATATCACTGTATATATGAATAATATTTTAAGTTTCCTTTTAAGAAAGTGAGAAAGGTTAAGGATACTTTATAGCCTTCTAAAAATGCAGGATGGGTTTCAGAAATCTTTGTGGAGATGCATTTGCCCCCTTGAACTTGTGACTAAAAAAATGGTTGCATACTTCTCCACAGATCTGCTTCCCTGAATTAGATTCCCTGAATCTGCTTCTTTTAAATGTATTAATAGTTTCATTGTTAACCCCTAGTACACTCCTCCTATCTGGGATGGTGAGCCTTAGACTAACCGTAGGCTGTTAAAGGCTAGCCAGTGGATCAGGAGTTTTCTTTACACTTTAAAATTTATATTCTCATTATATGTTTCATGATGTATCACCACACTTTTCTAATTGAATTTCCAGAAACCCTCTGGATATTGATGCCACTGGTGTGGTTGGACTGTCATTTAGTGGACACCGAATCCAGAGTGCCACCGTGCTTCTCAATGAGGAGGTCAATGACGAGAAGACTGCTGAGGCTGCAATGCAGCGCCTCAAAGCTGCCAGCATCCCGGAACAGAATACCATTGGCTTCATGTTTGCATGTGTTGGCAGGGGTTTTCAGTATTACAGAGCCAAGGGGAATGTTGAGGCTGATGCGTTCAGAAAGTTTTTTCCTAGTGTTCCTTTATTTGGCTTCTTTGGAAATGGAGAAATTGGATGTGATCGCATAGTCACTGGGAACTTCATATTGAAGAAATGTAATGAGGTGAAGGATGATGATCTGTTTCACAGCTATACAACAATAATGGCACTGATTCATCTTGGGTCATCTAAATAAAGCCATCTGTAAAGTGGCTTTCACAATATAAAACTTTTGGGCTCTGCCTTTCCTAGAAAATGGAAATTGGGATATGTCTATTTCAAAAAAAAAAATAGTAACTTTATATGTATCAGTTTTATAGCTTTGACTATATCCAGGGTAGTTTTTAATTAATTAGATGGACAACTTTGTACCTTACATAATGCACACAGAATTGAGAGCTTTTGCGCCAAACCAATTATGGCTATACTGTACTGGATTATGTAGCTGCTATGTAATGTGATGTAAATAGTCTTCTGCATAGGAAGATTGAAAGAGGATTCATCAATAGGATGGAGCTTTAAGACATTCCATGACTACCTCTGAACTATTAGATCTTTTAGCAAAATCATGAAGACATTTTTTTCTCCCTTAATGAAGGAGAAACATACATGAATAGCTTGAGAAATCTTTCTCTGCTTTACAGTTTTACCGATTTTTTTAGAAGCTGTAACAAAATTATTACTTTTTACTTATTTGACAAAAATTAAAGAACTATTTTTGTTCTAGTACCCTGAAGTTGCTTAGTCAAATAAATTGCCAAGACTAATCAGTATTTTATTACTTTATAAGGAAAACATTTCCTTTTCCCTCAATGAAGGAATTGTAAAAGAAGAATCCTTTTCACCTAATTCTATATAGAACTGGCAGACCAGACAATTACATCACCTTATTTTGGTCTTATACCAATAAAATGTACCTTGGAAGCTCATTCAGTGTTTTGTACATCACTGCTTTTGGTGAGTGAATGATGGAAGTAAACTAATACTTTAGAAAAGAAAGCCTGGAATGGTAGTCAGCTAGTAAATCCTGCTGTATTCCCAGAATGACTTTTTTAGGTTTATATTTCTAATTATGCTAATGTCTAAATGAGATAGGTTCAGAGAACACCAATTTTCCCCAGTGGCTTTTCTTCATATAGTGATAGAACCTTTGATTTCAGCTAGGCACATGCCTGCCATAACAAAGATATTTCCCATTCTCTCTTGCCATTGACTGTTGTGGTCAGTGAAATGTGAGAAGTGACAGGGGTCATTCATTCAAAATGATATGACAGTTTTTTGCCCTTTCTCAAGCTTGTTGCTTGGAAGTGGATCTGGTAGCGAGCTATCCTGGACTCTCCAGAAGAGGCAACACTATTGGGGAAGAGAACCACACAGAAGGATCCCAGGAATGCTATACAGTTTTGTTGAAGTGCTACCATAAGTGACCCGGATTGCCCATCTTCAGACTGTCTTACAAGATTGAAATTAACATCAATCCTGCCTCAGCCAGTGTTTTTTTCCCCAGGGCTTCATTACAACAGATGTTTATATTAGCATATTATCCCTAATACGGTATGATATAACTAATGTAGGGCACTTTGTATTCATTAGTGGTTTTGACAGAACAGTATAAAACTTGCAAGGTAAGTGAAATCAAAAATATTAACCTTCCTGCTTTTCTATTTGTAGTCACTTTTCTCAGTCTTTATGCTAAAAGGTCTTTCTTTTGCTGTTTATATATATGATAAAAATACTTAAATGTTCATTTTATGGTTATCCCATATCTTAGTTCCTGAAGAAAATCCAAAGAAAAATTTTCAAACTTTTAATCTGTGAATATTAATATTTAGTTATTAAACTTTCCTATTATTTGACATTGGTTATCCATTATCAAATAGGCAATATTCAAAATGCACATCTTTGGATGTGCTTACATAGCACATAAGGAAAATACTTTGTAAATTTTCTTTATCCTTGATTTTAACAAGAGTTGGTTGAATGGTAGAGGAAAAAGAATTTGAAAAACTAAAAATATGAACATAATAAGCATGATGATTGAATGGATTATTTTATTTTTTTCAAATTAATACTCCTACAGAATGTTTTGTTACTTTCCAAAGGAGAGTCTGCTGCAAGATCATTTCAATACAGTATGTGAGGTTACTAGGATTCCTTTGTATAGCTGAGCTTTTGGGGCTTGTTATGAATGGTAAATTCATTTGACTACAAGGTTGTAATCTTGGTGCAGAACAGAAAGGGGAGAAGTTGACCCAATAGAAATAAAAGTAGTACTGGTGAAAATAGAAGCCATATATGCTGCCTCTAGAGGCCATGATGTTCCATGGAAGGGTACAGGAATTTAAGCAAAGTTAAAATGAATTAATTACAATTTTGAAAGACCAGTGTTAAAAGCAAGCATTAAAGAGTTTTTTTTCAGCTAAAAACATACTAAATTCCTAGAAATGGCATCTTTCATATAGTCATTTCTGAAAGTGGAAAAAAATCACACTTGAAAAAACACATGCACACGAGAAACACAGTTACTCTTAGTGTCTTCATACACGGAACTGCCTTCTCTCAGATGATGAGCAGACTAATAGGATGGTTTAATCAAGACATTTAAAATACTTCTTTTTATGTTTTCAAAGTACAATTTTGCCGTAATTTGCCCTGCAAAACACTGCTTCAAGGAATAGATTTTGATTATTTTTCATCCCAGTAAAACTAAACTCCTTATAAGCCATCTAAGGAAGCATAGTGATCTAAAGAAAAGGAGGAAAGGTATTTCTTGGGATTAAGATCAAGAAACAGACATGCTGCATAATAATCCACCATGATCTATACCAATGAAGGGCATTCAGTGGGCCACTTCACTGCTTATAGTTCTCTCAACTTGGGTTATCTCTAAAACTGGGTTATTAGCAAACACAGCAATTTCTCAAACTTGTAAAAGAGGCCAGATAGCAAAAGCTTTGCCATTGATTTATACTGCAAATGTAGGTATTCTTGGGAAGGAGTTAAGATGGAGAAGTAGGTGGAAGCTAGGCTTTCTTTTTCCCTCATATATAGCTGTGAGGTCAGATCACTTGGAACACCCAGAAAATTGATCTGAAGGCTGGCAGAAGTATTTTCACAGTTGGACAGAGACTGGCAGGTGCAAGGGCGTGGAAGTGAATTGGGGGAGAGAAAAATGGTGGTGCCACAGAGGGGAGGGAGAGGCAAAAGGGAGAGAAAGGAGATGACAGAGTGCCGCGTCGGATTTGCATAAGAGAACTCTCCCGACCATGAACGGGTGGGTGAGCTAGAGTTATTGAGTGGCACAGGTTTTTTGCAAACTGTGGAGCTCAAACTCTGGTTTAGAAAGTATGCAACTTTCTCTGGAGGGGAGCTGTGGTGCATGCTCTCAGGGAGGCAGAAGGAGCTGGTGGATGCATAGCGGAATGTAAGGATCTCCTTAATTGCACAAAAGACTGCAGGTGTCAGCAAAACGCCTTTCATAGGGGGCAGAGGTGTGGGCTGAGGGCAGATAACCTAATTGCAGCTTTTTGCGGTGCTACATCGTAGATTCCATGCATTGCACAGGTGTGGGAATTTTTCTGGGACAAAGAACAACACTGTCTACAGGATAGGGAGAGAGGGGTGAGTCTGCATGGTGCCAGGTCCTTTAAGATTTTGAGTCCCAGGTGCATATCAAAGAACGACAGGCAGGATGCAACAACTGCCCTATTATGTGAGGGTTTCCTAAACAGTGGGGGGTGTGAGATCCCCTGTCGAAGGACCAGAGAATGTGGTGACATTTTCGTCAACACCAACCCGGTGGGATTCAAAGAGCAACACAGTGGCCCCCAGTGGAGGCAGAACCCACTTTCACCAAACCCCCTTGCCTTGTGCCTGTCAACTGCATACTTTCTAGGGCAGAATGGACTCTGAGCACAACAGGCCTCTCTTCCAGAAGACCAGCATAGGCAGTACTCTGCATGTACCAAGTGAATTGAAAATAGAGTGCTTCAAAGCCTCACCTGCAGTTCTGGTGGAAATAGGGTCAGGCTTACTGTTTTCTTTTCTTCTTTTTTTTTTCCTTTGGAATCAGACTTACAGATTTTTGTTTTTTCATTTCCTTTTCTCTTTTTTTTTTTTTTTGTTTGATTCAGGCTTCTTTTTTTCTTTTTCCTTTTTTTCTTTGAACTGTTTATAGTTCTTGGTTTATCTTTACATTGTCTCTTTTTTTTGGATTAGGTGCTTTTAATTATGCTTATCTTAAATCAAAGTACGCCTAGTTAAAGGTTCATACGCTTCCCACTGTAAGCAAGGAACTCTGTTGAGGACTGACAAGTGGGAAAGAGCAGCCAAAACACAACAGCAAAGTGCACACAGCATACACCAGAAACCTTCCTGAAGCACCAGGCCCTGGACTGTGTATGACTCCTTTTTAATATAGCCTTACTCTCAGGTGCAGAAAGCATAACAAGCTTTCAAAACATACAAAATACAGAAACATAGGCAAAATTACAAGATGGAGGAATTATCCCCAAAAGAAAGGTAAAGAAGAAATCACAGCCAGGAACTTGCTCAGAAGATTACTAGCTGGGCTTGAAAAAAGCATAGAAGACACCAGAGAAATCCTTGCTGCAGAGATCAAAGACCTAAAAACTAGGACAAAATAAAAAATGCTATAACTGAAATGCAAAACTGACCGGATACAGTCACAACATGGATTTAAGAAGCAGATGAGAGAATAGGTGATAAAGAAGAAAGACTTAGGGAACTCAAGGATTCCATAGAGTGAAATATCGGTATCTAAGGAGTCCCAGAAGAAGAGCAGGAAAAGGGGGCAGAAGGTTTATTCAAACACATGATAGCAGAGAACTTATCTAATCTGGGAAATGAAACGGGCATTTAAGTACAAGAAGCACAGAGAACTCTCCTCAAAATCAACAAAAACAGGTCAGCACCACAACATATCACAGTGAAACTTACAAAAAAAAAAAATACAAAGAGTTCTGAAAGCTAGGGACAAAAGGTCCTTAACCTACAAGGATAGACACAAAAGGTTAGCAACAGACATGTCCACTGAACATGGCAGTCCAGAAGGGAGTGGCAGGAAATATTCAATGTGCTAAATGGGAAGAAAGTGCAGCCAAGAGTTCTTTATCCAGCAAGAATTAGAAGGAGAGAGAAAGAGTTTCCCAGACAAAAACTAAAGAGTTCATGACCACTAACCCAGCCCTGCAAGAAATTTTAA